TTCAAAACTTTCCAGGCCGTACCCAAGCATATTCAAACGCGACGCGCGCGCCCAGGTCAGCCCGGCCACAGGTACAAAGGGACGCAACAGCGACCGATCGGACGACGTATCTAACGTGACAGGCGTCACGGCGTCACGCCGTCCCGTCGACAACATAACATATCATATTGTAGCACAGCAGGCTATGACCTTATCGAGCATAACATACTTGAACACTACAAAATACAACAAGGAGAAATCAAGGGCGCACTAGCATCCGCGCCCGGCCAGACGAAAAAGCAGGCGCAGCAACGGGCGATGAGACGACATAGAAACGCGACAGGAGTCACGACCTCACGCAACCCCGTCGAGATCAGAACAGAAACAAACGTATGTGCACAAAACAAAACAGAACTGAACACAACCTGATAGAGTAGAATGCAGCAGAGATCGAGTACTGGCAGCCTATCTTACGCGACATGCGCGCCCAACCCAGGCTGCCCACAGAAACAACCGGTAGCAGCAACGACCGATTAGGAACCATGGCAAACGTGAAAAACGTCACGACGTCACGCCAACCAGTCCACAGCATAACATAACGGATTATAGTGTTATATACAACGCTGGGCCAGAATCGAACCGAACATAACAAAGCACAATGTTACGAATACGCCAGCCACCACTTCACGGCGTCTCATCAAACGCGACATTCGCCCCGTCGTCAGAGGAGGACGGGGCGTCTGGAACAGGAGGAGAAAGGAGAGGTCCGCCTCACCTCCTCCTCCTCCTCCTCCTTCGTCGTCCGCCTCCTCCTCGTGCTGCTGCTACTCTTCCTCTTTCAACACGCTGCATATTCTCTCCGAACAAGTGTTGGGGTCTCGCAAGACTCGTTTCTTGGGCTGGTTTGTCGCTTCAGGGGCATGTTTCGGTTTCTTTCGCCAGGGGCCCTGGGGTTGTTAGACTTTCGAAAAACATCAACTTGCGACCTGGTCTGGCCGCCGCGCTGGTCGAGACCGCCAGGCACCGCGCACATCGTCCCAGTAGGCGCGCGCACCGTTGGGCACAAACGTCGAAGGTTTCGTTGGGGATCGCTCGAAATAAACCAATTCATCCCGAGTCGCTCGAGGCCCGGCGAGGGCCCCGAGGGTCCGACAACGACGCAAAGCCTCCGCCTCGGCCTCCTCGAGATGCCCGACGTCGGGGCTGGGACCCGGCCTCCTTCGTGCCAAGAGCGGGCAGTCGCCACCCCAGGGACGCCGCCGCCCTCCGGCTGCACGGAGGCAGTGGCCCCCCAGAGGGGAGGAGTGGCCCCTGGCGCGCGGCCCCCGCAGCCGCCGCCGCCGTCCGCCAGCCGCTCTCGCAGGCGTCATTCGTCGCCCGCTCTCGCCGCCGCACACCGCCACCCGCTCTCGCCGTCCCCGTCTTGCTGTCACCATCCGCTCTCGCCGCTTGCCACCGCCACCCGCCACTCGCCAACCGCTTTCGCCGCATGGCTGCCCGGCTCTCACTCGGACACGATCACCCATATGACACTCGATCGTCGAAAGAGCGGAGAGGCGCCCACCCGCGCGGTGTCAAACAACTATCGAATCCATAGAGGAAGAGAGAAGAGAAATAGCATCATACATGTGTATATATGTACAAAGAGAGAGAGAGAGAGAGAGAGAGAGAGAGAGAGAGAAAGAGAAACAAAAAGAGAGACAGCTGACAACGATAGCGAGAGGTCGCAGTGCGCCTCCTCCACCCAGACATCGCTGTGGGCCGTGCTTTTGATTCTGCCTGTGCCCTGCTGCTACTGCTTTCTGGACTTCATGCTTCTTTTCTTGCCTCACCTCGCTCCTCTGCCCGCCTCCCTCCCCTCTCGTCTTCCGCCTCATTCTCCTCCTTCTCCTCCTCCAATGCCTCCGTCGCTTCATCTCCTCGGTTTCCACATAGTTAGCTGTGCCTTTTTGACTTCAACCTCTTCGTTCTCGTCCTCGCCATTGTCTCCCTCCTCCTCCTTCCTCGTCATGTATGTTGATTTATACATCGTCTTTCTCATCCTGTTGCCACCTCTCAGTATTCCCCTTGTCCTCATCATCCTGTCCTTGTTCATCTTCTTTCTCGTCATAGGGTCCTTCTATGACATCGTGTATCCATGTGTTAGTTTACCGATGCCGATCTGAGATTCTCTGATCCGCGTCTTGTGTTCCAAGACAGAGGCACGTCCGAATCCACATATCTGCTCGTGATGGGAGCTCGAGCAAAATTGCATGTTTCATCGAGCGTAACGCTCATGTTTACCAGGAGCTGGAGAGGATACCCCAGAACATATCAACCAGAAGGTGTCGAACCTCTGCGATGACGAGCACGGTGGTGATCCATGGCGTTGAGTGTCCGTTTCGATCGACACGTACATCGAAATGCGCTTTGGTTCCCTGGAACCTTCTTGCTCTTATGACTTAGCGTCCTCGAGGTCCCTACTGTGGGCTGGTGTACGCACGCGTCGATTCCCAATGCTCAGATGCTGGATGATGCGTCGAACGCGCACTGAATATTGAACCTCGTAGCAGGATCTATGAAACAAGCAGCACCTTAAATATGATACCTCTGCGCCGAAGGATTACATTCTCGCGCAGCGCCCACGGCATGATACCATGGGTGCGGATGATGACGCAGCTCCAACATTGGGGAAAGATAGATCTGTGTATACTTATCTAAGCATTGGCTAGATCCGCGCGCGCGCTTCGCGCGCGCTTGGGTTCTAGCGCAAGCCCAAATTAGCTGTGCAAGGAAGAGTGGAGATGGGAACCATCATATGGGAATGGGCATCCTCATGGACGCGTCATGCAACTGTGGATGCTGGGCAAGCGCGCCCCAAGCTCCCGTTCGCACTGAGTGGCTATACCTTGCCTGGGTTGTGGGCCAGGGGCTGCTTGTCTACCTGTTGTAGTGTCTTGGCATGCTCCCCATGGCCAGACAGCCATATTGCCGAAGAGTGCTGCGCCAAAGCCCAAAGCGTCTCGAAGGGCACCGATATCTCACACAAGCCCGCCCGCCATGCCTCACTACGCTGCCGTTCCTTCGACATGCCTGCTGTTCCTTCTCCTCCTTCTTCTCCTCCTCCTCCTCGCGACCAGCAGCAATTGTCGTAGCTTGAACACTCACCCAGCAGATGTGAGCCAGACAGCGGAGACTACGGTTGCCCAGGTCTTGCTTGCTTGCTCCTCCTCGCGCTCCTGTTATCCTCCCTCCTCCGTCCTCCTCCTCCCTCCTGCTCCTCCTCGTCCTCGGGTGGGGGAACAAAAACAATGACGGAAAATCCAAGAACATTTCACAGTACGGTTCAATTTTTCTGAGGGTTCAAGAACATTGTCTAGCCCTGGAGGCACGATCCGTGTGTCTGGTTCGCAGAATTGGGCCGACCGACGCCGCCTCGGGGCCCGGACGTTCGGGGTTCAAACGCCTTTTCCTCCTCCTCCTCCTCCTCCTCCCCCTCCTCCTCCTCCTCCTCCTCCTCCTCTTTCCTCCTCCTCCTGCTCCTACTCCTCCTCTTTCCTCCTCCTCCTCCACCTCCTCCTCCTCCTCCTCCTCCTCCTCCTCCTCCTCCTCCTCCTCCTCCTCCTCCCCCTCCTCTTTTCGAGGCCTGGGCGGCGGGGGTTCAAACATTTTCTCTGGTACAGGAGACGGGGGAGGAGGGAGACGGGATGAGGCATGGCACTGCATTGCGCTGCAGGTCAGTGCGCTGTGCTGCGATTGGTTGTACCGCATTGCATCCTGTTGCAAAGCAATGCGAAACAATGCTTCGCATTGCATTGCTTCGCGTCGCCTAGAGCTGCTCCGAATTGCCGTGGGAGACAGCAGCCCCGGACGGGGCCGCGCCGGGTCCATGTTTCGTTCGCAGCGTGAGCTCGGCTACGCGGGAGGCGGAGGCGGAGGCGGAGGCGGAGGCGGAGGCGGAGGCGGAGGCGGAGGCGGAGGAGGAGGAGGAGGAGGAGGAGGAGGAGGAGGAGGAGGAGGAGGAGGAGGAGGAGAGGAGGAGGAGGAGAGGAGGAGGAGGAGGAGGAGGGAGGAGGAGGAGGAGGAGGAGGAGGCGGAGGAGGCCTCGGGTGCGCGCCCGGCCGCTCGCTGCGGGAGGTGCGGCGGTGGCGGGCCTGCGCGCTCGGACGCCTCCCTCCCCCGGAGCCCCCCCCGGCAGAAGCCGCGCACTGCAGGGTCGCTCCAGCGAGTGGTCCTTCGCACGCGTGACCGATCGGCCCTCAGAGGCCAGCGCCCTCAGCCTCGTCCTCCTCGTCCTCCTCCTCCTCCTCGTCCTCCTCGTCCTCCTCGTCCTCCTCGTCCTCCTCCTCCTCCTCCTCCTCCTCCTCCTCCTCCTCCTCCTCCTCCTCCTCCTCCTCCTCCTCTCGGGCGGCGTGGGTTCCCACCCCCACTTGGCGTGGCGACGTCGAGCGCCACCGGAAGGGGCCGAAGACTCCTCCGGGGACCTTCGGCCGGCGAAGACGTCCAACGCCTCGACCTCCTCGGCCTCGAGGTCCCTTCGTGCCCTGGGGCCCACTCTCTCGGCTAAGACGCAAAGGAGTGACCCTGGGCAAGGGTGGCCTCTGGTGCGCGGACTCACGGGGCGCGAGGTGGCCGATTCCAAGCGCGCAAGCAGCCACTATCGCATCGCGCTCAGCGATCGGGGGGACCCAGGTGAGCCCGCACCAAAGGTCACTCCGGCCAAGGGTCACTCTTACGTGTAGTCGACTTTCCACCTCGTGGCTTTTTTCTGGCGGTCTCCCCGGGCCTGGTGAGGACCCCCCACCCCGCGAGAGCCGCAAGGCGGGGAAACGCCCGGCGTCTTGGAGGCTTCGCACGACGAGATGGGGCCCAGGCCTGCGGGGGCGCAAGCCCTGTGGGCGGGGCCTCTGCCAACCCAGAGAGTCGAGGGAGCGAGGGGGAGGAGGAGATCAGAGTCAGGAGTGCACCCGGGGCCCCGCCAAGAGGAAGTCAACACGAGCACGGCGAACGATAGCACGCACGGCGAGGGAGGGAGCAGAAAC